CACGGCCAACACGCACAGCCGCAATTGTAAAACTTGCTGATCGCTAAAGTCAGTATTCGCTTCGACAGGGCACAGTCGCCCCAGCTGTCCGAAACGTCATCAAATCTTCAAATTTATTCCGGTGAGCAGAAGATGAACGCTTATTCTGTTGGTAGGATATATCTGGTCGGTTAGTTTGCTGGTTGGAAGACTAGGTTCTAGCGAAACAAATTATTTCACTTTGAACATAACACGTCTGCGACAAAAAATAAACCCATCACAGATTTCCCCTCTGAAAACCTGATACAAGGCTCGCTGACTCACGCAATGATTTCAGCAGAGTTCAGTGTCTAATCCAAAGGCAGACAGCTGTAAAATGCTGTTCATACTAGGAGTAGTGGAATGACGCCACTGCCTGTGAGTTAATACACTTCCGGCTAAGAAAACTGTACCTGAGGTGTTGGAGAACCTTTAGCGAACAGGAGTTTACTTACTACATTAGGCTTCTCCCACGCGTCTGAAGCATTCGGCTGCTGAGTTACCTTACCAGTCCTTTTGGTTAAATTTGAAAACAATATGTGATTTCGGGCGACTATAAAGCAGAAACATTATAATTTCGGGGTACCTCAGACGGTGTGCATTTTACTTATTCGCCCAAAGTGTCCTGTTTATGCAAAGCAGTTTGCCGAGGAAACGTTTAACAGTTTGGGCGGTAACCAAGGCTAGCTTATAGTCGGGAAATTATTGATACTAATAACTGTTTAGAAGCAAACGTGTGTTTCAGTACGCGTTTTTTTACTACAGAAAGCTACTATAAACTGGAAAGTTCTACTGAACCAACCACCGCCCACTGAAAAAAAAACCTGTTTTTGGTCCGTTGAACTTAGACACAACAGAGCGTGAACAGGCGCGGTGCTTAAGGAGAAGCCTAGCGGAGTTTATGGCCCAGAAGCCTGTAATGGCCCCTACAAACCATCCTTCACTTTGGTGCACCGCACTGGAAGGCGCATGCAAACGTCCCTCCCATAAGTGGCTACGGATCGACCAACCACACAGTAGCCAGTTGAAATTCTGATCATACAGATGGATCCTCCTTGTTCCGCCTAGTTTCTTTTAATACAGCCTTTAAACAACCGAATGGGCAAACCATGAAGGTTTTTTTTTCAATCTTTTAGTAGTTATATCTCTACTCGGTTGGGCATTTATAAACGTAGAACGCACACTTATGACAATCAAGGAGAACAAACAAATGACTCTGGTATATGGAGAAAAGTCTGTGTGTTTGCTTCTGCGACAGAAGATTTATCGTGGGGCGACAGTAACAGGGCATTTTAAAGTAGGTGAATTATTCGAGGGAGCTTTTCAGTTGACCAACGCAGGCAGGCCGGTATTGTGGATGTGCATTCACGTTGGCGGTTAGGTTTCATAGTTGAACGAGTGCGCAAATATCACGCAAGTTACTATTTGCATAAAATGTGTAACTCCTGCGAATGCCTTTGTGTCTATTTTGACGGTTTTGTAAACACAAACTATCAGATCTATGCTTTAGTATACGGAAAAATTCGAGGCCCAGATATTATATTCCTTTCATCATCCCCGGAAGAGGAAAAAGAAGAAGGGGCGATATCTGGAACCAGGCTGTACTTTAGCTGAAGTTTCAAAGGCCTTCTCGTTTCCATCGTCAGAGCGTGGTGATCGTTCTCCTGCTGGTGTCAGTAAGAGTGTCCAACGGTTTGCCTGATGCCCGTGTGTCAATCGATTGTACCGATCGATTTTGCGCAAGCAACTCAAACAGCCACAAAAATCGATCGGTACAATCGCTTGACACACGGGCATCAGGCAAACGGTTGGACACTCTTACTGACACTAGCAGCAGAACGATTACCAAGATCTGACGATGGAAGCAAGAAGGCTTTTGAAACGTCAGCTAAAATACAACCCGGTCCCGGAAATCGCCCCTTTTTCTTCTTCCTCGTCCGGGGATGATGAAAGGAAGATCTATCCTTTATTCAGTCTAGTCAAAACTCTGAAAACCGGAAATTAGTCATGTACCAACGCCATATTTAAGGAACAAAAGGTCGTATTGGGAAACAGAAAACGGCATGTTTACTATTGCATCCGAGATGGTTTATTAGGTTCTTATTCACTGGCCAGATTCTGTACGTGTGAGCCACTAAGAAAATAAATTACGCTTTGGCGTCCCCATCAGCCAAATTAGGCAGAAGCCTTTTTACCGTATTCAACCGAATCCTAAATATTCTAAAAGTGAAAAAACCACACCGAATTAACTGAACAAAATGCTAAAACACTTTATTATGGACTTCATTTGAGACAACATTAATGCTTGGAAAATGTTTACTTTAGCTGCACGTAAAAAGGTCATCTCAGAAGTTGTTATGCGTAGACTGTTTTGTTTACGCATTAATTTGCACGGACAGACTCTACTTAATTCCGCAAATCAAGTTTACCCAGCTTACAAGACTTTTCGCACCTGTGTTACTTCCACGTTTCTTTGAAAACAAAATTGTTATTTCTCACCGACGCAATACCATTCCCCCTCCCCCTTCCCTTGTGGCTGGCGTAACGCAAGTCAAGGTAATCCACTACTAATTTTGAACTTTAATCGATGTCTTGGGCCGGTGTCAGATTTATTGGAGATTTGTTTTTTTATTTGGACATACTTTTTGAATTACGTCGACTAACGCACGTGGTGTTAAAAAAAACAAAGTTACAAGGTTCATCTGTCAGGCAGTTGGAACAGATATGTGGCTAATTAATAGCGGCATAGTTTATGGAACATATTCGGTGCTATCGTAACCACACTAATTCACATGAGCGGAATGGCTAGTGCTGCGCGGTTCTACCAGTGA